TCACGTGTAGAACCTGCTCCCATCTCTGGGAATCTCTAGCATTTATTCATTCATGTGTATATTCACCAAATATTTACTGTGTTCCAGACACTCTGCTTAGGCGTGGGAGGAGAGAAGTTAGAAAACACGTAGTCGTAGATTCTGCTGACTTTAAAACCCAAGGTAGGTTGAGGTTTACAGATATGAACACGGAGAAGCATGTGGATGATGGATATAAATACGCAGATACATCAGCGTAACACTAATACGTCACAGGTCCAGCACTATGTGACTTCCTTTAGATGGACACCCTCACTTAGCAACCCCCAAACTTCTGCATTGGATTTTATCACGCAAAAACTTGACAAACAGCAATCCAGTTCTATGCATTTAGAATAACTACATTGCCGTCCAACAGGACCTCCACCACAAGATGTGACGGAGAAGGCTACAAGGCGGCCACCCCAAACCCAGCTTATCAAGACTTCTAATATGGCCTTGAAAACGAAAACCTTGCTCTTTTCTGTTCCAGGAAATTTGCCCACTGCCCAAATGCAAGGAAAACAGGTTTTTAATCAACTGTATTTTGAACATCTAAAAGCCCAGTTTTTTCAGACTTATCTTGATTACTTTTAGTGCTGTCTTACACAGCGGCTCTGGAACCAGTCTCTGGTGAAGGCCCCCTCCCAAGCGTCCACTATAGACAAGGAATCTGCTTTCAGAGCTTAGCAAGGACCTGACCCGTCAGTCAAATAGCAAGGAGGGTGGAGTGGGACATGCACCCACATCGCCTCCCCGCGCTTCACGGAGGAGCTCGCCGCTCCGGCAGTCTTTTCCTTCCCACCGCACTAACAATGGTCGCTTTTAACTTTCACTACTCCGTCCTCCACGCAGTGGCCCTTGAGAGACATAAAAAGCGCCCTCCCGTCCCCGTGTCACCTCGCCACCGCACCTCCTGCCCCTGCGCCAGCCTGCACATTCCCACCCCCTCCCTGTTTCACCTGTGATTTGATTTCAAGAACCCTCAGCCCCTGGACACCTCTGGAAGAACACAATCCATTTCCCAGTGTATCTTTTTATGGTTTATAAAGATAGAGAATTCTCCATCAGATGACAGAGTGAAGTACATTGTTGGTTGCTTTTATATATATAGATATCTCAGAGTACAAGAAATATCTCACTTTCCTCTGGAATCTAAGAAAGACAGCAGCACATGTAGGACATGAAATGACAAACACCCTTCCCCATCTGCATGGGAGACCAGAGGGAGTAGGGGGCTGAGTCCAGGGCCAGGCCTGACCGGAGGGAGCCTCCTGTGTGACTCCAGGGGAGGCCCCCAGGGAGGGGTGGACACCCAGTGCCACCTGGTCTTGTGATGTTTTTCCGAAGAAGTTGGAAATCCAGATTTCTATGTGAATTTACCAATTTTTTGCATCATGTAACAGACACCAAAAAGAAAACAAAAGTGCCGCTGTTGCCTGTGCGTCCCCACACACACATTCACACACACACACACACACTGACACACACACACCCCTGAGTAATCTGCATTTTTTTATTTTTACTTTAATAGTAACTGTCAACCTAAAACTTAGTGTTTATCCTTTCTAATCCTGCCAGGGTAAGCCGAGATTCCAGCTTTTTAAGTCACCTGTGTTCTCAGATTCTGTCCTCCAAAGTCATAGCCTCTCAGGAAGCTAACTTGTTCCTATGTGACCACAACTCACGGCTCACTAAACTCGTATTCTTGCTTGTCTGAGCACAGGCCCAGTGTGCAGAACGCCCAACCCAGGAAGATTTTCAATGACCCTTGTGCTTCTCCCTGGGGACCTCACAGTGTTGTCAGTCCTGTGAGACAGCATCAGAGTGACAGCCCCCACAAGGAGGGTGACTCCAGAGCGTGCTAATGACCTGGCCAATGTGTGGGGGATGTCCCCTGGGGGGACAATGAGGCCAGCCCACAGCTCTGCAGACAACTCCATTCATCTTGGAGTTGTGGCGAAATTTATTAGAGACACCAGTGTGAAGCTACAGCAAAAGCAGCCCAGGTGCTTCATTAAACTCTCCCCATGGACACGGGCATCGGGATGGCAGCACAGCCCGCCTTCCCACAGCCCTGAGCGCTTGATCTGTAGACTCCATTCCGCCCCTGTGAAGAATGGACAATCATTTGCTGAAGAGCACGCCTTCTTCATGAAGCCGCGGTAGTGACAGCTGACCAAAAACTATCACCTTCCAAAATACTGTGCATCCCAAGATGGCCAGAGGATATTTTTAGTATATTTCTGTGCAGCAGAGCCGACCCAGTATGAGCCAGAAGGGGATCCATGAACTTGGACCTTCCTTTCCAGGGCAGAAGGTTGAGGATGCTGCCCTGTGCAGCTTCAGGAGGGAAGCAAAAGCTTAGGAACTACACGGTGAGTCATTAGTTTGAGTTCACAGTGGCCTAAGCATACAGACACCAGCCCCATCTGCCACCGTCAGTGTCTCTTTCCAAAGCGATGAGGGAACAATAAAAACTGTGCATTGTGATAGGCAACGCGTCTTCAATATTTTTTATCTCTACAAATAATCTCTGTTATGGTTTAGGTCTAAAATGCCCCCCAAAGTCTCATGTGTACAGAAGGTTACTGGACCGCAGGAGTGCTCTGCTCATGAGTGGACTCACCCATTCATAAGTTCAGTAGTTCAAGGAGCTTTCGGGAGTTGGCGCCTGGTTGTAGGTGGGTCCTGGGCCCACGAACTGGAAGTGTGTGTTCTTGTCCTTGGCTCCTCCCTTCCCTCTCTGCTTCCTGGCTGGGATGAGGTGAACAATTGTCCCCCATCAGGCCTTTCTACCATTGCACTCCTGCCTTGGAACCAGCCGACCATGGTCTGAATCGACTGAAATCATGAGCCTGAATAAACCTCTGCTTCTTTAAATTACAGGTATAGGGTATTTTGTCCCAGTGCTGGGAACGTGACTAATAAATCTCCTATAACTTCACTCAGATATTCCTAAACTCTGAGCATAGGGACTTGTGCTTGTTTAATCCAGTCTGTTCACAGAAAACAAGGGTCTGCAGAAGTCCCAGGGCAGGGTTGTGTCCATGCATTTTAAGCTGGTCCTTCCTCTCTAGAGAGAATTAATATTCCATGCCTGGGAAACAAGATATGCCGAACTGGAGTTTCCTAGGCTCACTATTTTTTAAATTATACTTCCCTGAAACATCATTTCTCCTCTATTAACTGTCTCTGGAGTGAGACATGGCCTCATGTAGGTCACACTGAAAAGCAATTAGCCTCTGCCAGGCCTTTTCTACCACAGGGAAACCCCTAATATCTTTTCTATGCACTGTAAAGTTCTTGGGATTACCGCAAAGTTTTGTTTACCCTCTGGACAGGGATGGGAGGAAGAACAGAACTCAGTGTCATCGTGTTTTCCTACAATACACACGAAGAACTTAAAGGAGGAGGAGGGTTCTGCAAATCTGTCCTTTCTCCCCAAAGTGGCTGCTGCCAAAGCAAATGGCAACCAATATACTAAGAAAAAATAAGCAGAAACACTAAATTCGGTAGTTCTAGCAGAACCCCACAAAGAGCCTGAGAAACTGAAAACATAGGCTGGTTCTTGACAGAATTTGGAATCAGAAATATGGCTAATTAGTGCACCAAATCCAGCAGAAATGTCCGACGGCCAGAGTTCCTCAACCTTGAGCCACATCATTCTGGTTATAACCAAATTAAGCTAGATGGTACACGATGAGCTCTTTTTCTCATTTTAACAGTAATTTATTTTAATGAATATTAACAAAAATTTAGTATATCAAGCTCATGGATTTTATTATCTGATAATGAGGCTAAATTAGTTTCTAAGCTTGAAAGAGGGAGATATTTATTAGTACCACACGCTTCCCAGCTGAGCCAACCAGCTGCTCAAAAAAGCAAGCAAGGCCTTTGAAGAAAATATATTTAGTTAATGGCATTATTGGACATAGACAGCTGGCAAAGATTGGGACGGTACATGCATTGTTAACATTAGGAAAATATCATCCTGGGTAGGAAGGAGACAAGGAATATTATAATTTTAAAATTGTACCTTCAAGAAGACACCAATCAAAGCTGCCCAAGGTTACCCATGTCCGTATTCTCTAGGTCTGTGTACCCTCTATAGTCCCAGAACCACCACACCCAACATTCTTAAAGATACTAGAAGTCCATAAATTAGCTTAGTTGATGTGGTAAAGGACAGAAATGTGACCTTGTGATAGAAAAACAGATGCAAAGGTTTCAAAAACTGTTTTGGAGGAAAATAAATGACTCATAAATATATAGAGAGAAAGAGATAGAGAGAGAGAGAGATGATAGATTAGATAGATAGATTAGATAGATGATAGGTAGATAGATGATAGATAGATAGATAGATAGATAGATAGATAGATAGATATAGACAGATAGAGGGAGGGAGGGAGAGATGCCTTTCTCCTGCAAAATGGCACATTCTCTTTCCACTTGTAGAAGGGCCATTGCTTTCTCTATAAACCAAGCCCAAGCTTTCTAAAGATTCACAAATTCCACAGATTTCCACTATCAAAAATGCATAAATAGCCAGTGCTCCAGACTATAATGCATCTCCTTCCTTTTTGACAGCCCACGCTCTTTCTTTAAGTACTTTTAAAATTCTGTCTAATAATGCCCTTTATCCCTCAGAAAGGAAAAGAGAGAGGAGGGGCGGGAGGGGGAGGAGACTATAAGGTAAGGAGAGAAGGAAAGGTAGAAGGAGGAGGAGACAGGGAAGGGAGAAAGACAGGAGAACAGGTCCCCTGGAGAGTGAGGGCCAGGCTTCCCTCCTGCCCACCACAGCCTCCCTCAGCCCCAGCGCTGCTCTCACCAGTCCCTGTCCCCATCCCCATCCCCGGTGCAGTGCAGTTGTTCTGTTTCCTGCCTTCTGGAGCTCAGGATGCTGAGACAGGACAGATGCTGGGGACGGAAGCAGAGCAGCCATGGCCGCCCACACAAGAGACGCAGAGAAGCTTCCCTACCTTCACTACATCCTCATCTGCCGACTTGCACTCCACGGACTCTGACACGTGGACCACAGAGCCGTCCTCTTGGACCCCGACGACCTTGACAGGGACAGACACGGGCTTCCCGGTGAGGATGGCAGTGTTCAAAACTTCTGTGTCCTGCACAGGAGACAGGGGTGAAGGTCAGCACTGAGGCCAAGTGGGTAGCGGGGAGGGGTGTGGATGAGGGGCCTGCTGCCCTGGGGTCCCCCTGCCACCCGAACAATTGCCTGAAGTCACAAGACCCACACAAAGGGAAGGATTCCAAACAGCTGGATGGGCTCGACCAGACTGAGCTCCTCAAGCCTGAGGCTGCACACTCCTGTTGGTCCCCAGGGGCGGGAGGTGGATGGCTCCCTGGCCTGTGCCTCCCTGTCCTTCTCTACCACCCCTTCTTGCCCTCTCCCAGATGCCATCACACCTAGCACAAGGTGCTTTTCC